ATTATAGCACTTCACACGGGAGATAGAACGCAGAAACCCATGATCAAAGAGAGCTAGCTAGTCTTTTCATATCTTCCACTCTCAATGGCCAGGTCTCACAGCCATAAAGGAGAATGGAGCGGACTGATGAGCAGTACACACGCCCTTTGGTCGATAGTCGGATATCACGTCTACGCCAGAGACGGCGTAAACTGGCGTATGCAAACCTAGCCCTCTGTATTCGTGCTGATATTTCGTCAGAGATCAACCCTTTGGCACTGGCTGATGGTACTTCCCAAATAAGTGAAGCGGTCAACGTGCTCTACCACTTCACTTCCTATTTCTAATCTAGGGGTCGGTGAAGTCCAATCCTGCAGCATCATCTTACATTTTACAGGGGCGAATCGCATGCCAAACATTCTTAGATTGCAGCTCAAGGTGTTCAACAGACTCTGCATTTTGTCAGCGTCCTCGCCTAAAAGGACTATATCGTCCGCATATTCTAAGTCAACGAGATTATTCCCTGGTAGCAAACCGATTCCTGAGTCGCTGAAGTGTGTTAGGGTTAAGTCCATTAGTACGTCTATGATGAAGTTGAATAGAAATGGGGATAATGGGCATCCTTGACGGACGCCACTAGTCGTCACCACTTCAGATGACAACTCGCCATAAGCCCTCACCTGGCTGCATGAGTACGAGTAGAGTTCCTTAACCAGTGCAATGTATTTTCTTGGCATTCCCTTTACAGCCAAGCATCGCCAGAGAACCTCTCGGTCGACAGAATCGAATGCCGCCTTTAGGTCAAGAAATATAATGATTGTCGGACGCCGGTAGGAATGCCTATGTTCTAGAATCTGTCGGAGGGTGAAGATATGATCAATACAATTGAGTATATACAATAAATCGATAAGCTTTGCTTGAGTCATATTGTATTTCCTGCTGAAATACTCAGTCTGTGTTGACCTCCTAACTCCTAGTACAGACATGTGACGTTGTTTATTTGATAGTAACTAGCAGCGGAACCCAGGATGTTCGGTTTGTTCTACTCCGATACACTTCAGCTGAATTTTCAGCTGCATTCTCAGTGACATTTTTATAGAGACTGAACATTCTAATCCAAAATAGAATAATCAACAAATAGGAAATATAAAGTAACGTCAACAAATAACAGTTCGTCTCCCTTACACAAGTGGTGGTTCTCGTGAGCTAGATGCCTACTGGATAAAACGATTTTGCTTCTAAATAATTTGTGTACTAGTTTTGAGTTATCACTTACTGGGAATATGGGTAATTCTACGTGGTGAGTTATAAATAGGACAGAAATGTGCATCTGTGATTCTACCTGCTAAACACCATCAATCGAATAACACCGCGTCATGGTGTGTGCTACTGACAAGGTTTGTAAGTAGAACATAGATGCCGATAAAAAAATACTTACAAAAGAAAAGGAGTTCAGTGAAGAGTTACTCTTTTCGGCGATATCATTCTCAAGCTGTACAGTCACATATATATAGTAAATTCCCTAGCAAAAAAATGAATATTTCCAGAGATGTGTCGTTAGAATTATGAATTTTAGATAACAAATTACGCAATTTAGAGTGGCGTAAACTAATTGACGTGGTTGAGTAGAGCTCAGCTAAAATTAAAATTGAACAAAAGTCAAGTTAACAGTAGTGGTAATTAGGGGTGGGGGAAAAAGACGAAACAAAATTACTTATTCGGTGTTAAGACAAGTCAGATCCACTGTAGATTTAATGACTGATTTCCCACAAACTGGAAGATATGCAAGCGAAAAGCCACAAGTTGGCAGAAGAAGCATCAAAGATAGGACTTGATTTGAGAAGTCTTTGAGAAAAAGAGAGCATAAATGGGAGGATCCTGAAAGAAACAACCTCTTTTACCTACCTGGGAAGCAACGTTTCAACTAAAGGCGGAACTGACGAGGATATCAAAGCAAAAATCGGAAAAGCAAGACAAGCTTTCACTACTCTCAAGTCTGTGTGGAGGTCAACAGCACTACTCAGCATCAAAAATAACATCCGGATTTTCAACTCCAATGTGAAGTCAGTCAATGCTACTATACGGATGGATCAGAGACTTGCACTGCGCGTCATAAAGAGCATCTCAAACAAACTACAGACCTTCATTAACAGTTGTCTTCGCTCAATGCAACTCAAGATCAGATGGCCGACCAGAAAAGATCAGCAACAGAGATCTCTGGCAATGAGCGAACCAACCAGGAACCGATTGTGAACCAAATAGGCAGGAAGAAATGGAGATGGATTGGCTGACCATACTCTGAGGATACCATCAAGTGACATCACTAGACAAGCCATTGCTCGAGTGGAACCCGAAAGGGAAGCGGCGAGTTGGTCGTCAGTGCGAGGGTGACAGCAAGAAGAAATGGAGATGGATTGGCTGGCCATATCCTGAGGAAACAATGCATCAAGTGACATCACTAGACAAGCCATTGCTCGAGTGGAACCCGAAAGGGAAGCGGCGAGTTGGTCGTCAGTGCGAGGGTGACTTGGAGGAGGTGATGTGAAGAGGAGATGAAGGCGTGTGGGCAGACTTGGAGCCAGGTGAAAACTCTAGCAGAGAAGCGGACGCAATGGAGACGCGCGGCTGAAGCCCAATGTTCCTCCAGGAATTAAACGAAATAGTAATAATAATAAAGTTGTTTGGTATGCAGAGTTCAGGTTTTAATATGCGTACTGCCTTTGCTTCTGCTCTGTTTGAAGAAGTTTGATTCCTGAATTGTTGTTAAGTTGACTTTTGTTCAATTTTTTTTATCTCTGAGCCCTACTAAACCCTATCAGTTAGCTTACGCTATTTGAATCACTTATTTAACCTTATTTAACCTTCTTATTCATTAACGCCTTGTAAATTACGTAATTTGTTTTCTAAAACTTACAATTCTAATGACAAATCTCTGGAAATATTCATTTTGTTGCTAAGAAAATTTATTATTGTTCTCTTGGTTTCCTAGTGGAACATAGGGCTTCAACTGCACGTCTCCCTTTGTTTCTGTCTTCTGCTGTACTTTTCACCTGCATCCATGTTATTCCATACTGCTTCAATTCCTCTTCATATGATCTCCTCCATGTCACCTTTGGACGTCCCACTCGCCGCTTCCCTTTCGAGTTCCACTCGAGAACTGGCCTGACGCACGATGTCCCCCAGCGGCCTCCTCAGTGAGTGTCCAATCCATCTGCACTTTCTCATGCATATTTGTTGGGCGATTGGTCCTTGCTTTGTTTCTTCCCATAGTTTCTTGTTGGTGAATCTTTCTGGCCATCGGATCTTCAGTGTAGAGCGAAGACAGCTAAGAAAATTTACTCTCTCTATATATATATACATATATATGATTGTACCACTTGAGAATGACATTGCCGAAAAGAGTAACTCAATGGGAATTTTTAAGTTGCTCAAACGTTGCAAAAGATATGTTTATCGGCCGCATAAATATCAAATAGCAGAGAGGTGGATTTAATGAACAATATTTGTGACACAGCATGGAAAACATTAAAAGAAAGCATAGAAACACAATACCTCGAATATATTGGCTAACTGGTAATTCTAATGTAAGATAGACGTATTTCGCCTGTATCTGTGATTCACTTACCCTATAATTGTGTCTCTACCGTTACAACATCGATGTACATTTAATATCGGTAAAACGTTTGAGCCACGTGGAATACATCAAATTAATTATAATTATATTTCAATAGTTTACACACGATGATAAGTGTTGTTTGTTTTTCTGGTAATATTCCGAGCAAAATTACTGCCCATGTTCACACCACTGTTGGAATTGTTTTGTAATTTTGCTCGAAATATTACCAAAAAGAAAAAAAACTTATCATTGTGTATAAACTATTGAAATATAACTATAATTTATTCGATTTACATTCTTCAATTACGAGAGAGTTTCTATTTAGCATGAGAGCACATTAACAAAATATTTTTCGTGCTCGAGAACATCTCCCACTACCGCTAAGTAAAGGTGTAGTTAAAACCATTAACAGTTCGATATTAGACCATCTGGTGCAAACCGACCACAAAGCCAGCCAGCTTTGAAGAATCCTTCTCTATAATCTACCGGGTGCCTAATAAATTGCCAAAATCATCGAAGCACCGCATGCTCCGAACAGCAGAGGCTATTGCTATTCGTCTCAAACAACCAGTGCTCTGTGTTCAAAAGAAGCGAGTCCAGTCTCTACTGCTGCCCTGACTGTGCTTCAGTAGAGACTATAAATTCATGAATTTGTATTATTATCTTTCCTAGTTTTTCTGACATTCAGCTTATTTTTTGTTGATGCTATTGAGCTGTAATCTATCAATATTATTGATTCGATGTTATTTAAACAACAACATTAATGTTGTTCATAACACTAATTCATTCATTCACTATAATAAATATATATAACTGTAGAGCCTGATGATGAAGGCGTTATCGAAAAGAGTACTCTTTGTTCAGTATCCATTCTTTTGAAAATTTTAATGGGCATTTTTAATCAGTTAAAATATTATGTTCTAACGAATGATTTGATCTCAGTTTGTTGCGCGTAATCATTCAATTTTCAAAATCAATTTTCATAGTTACACGGTGCTTGAATTGGTAGCAGGACTTTCAATACATCTATGAATGTCAGATCATTTCGGTTAAACGTATTTCGCAGTGATTCGGTTAGGAAACTGTCCTTATTCGAAGTGTGGTTTAATAGGCTTTTTAACTAATTTTGTCTCGAACTAATGTCAGTTAGAGAATCAGTGAAAACCGAAGAATTTGAACTTTTCAGCAGTGTACACGAAGGATTTTGAAGTGGTAAAATCCAGAACCTCTAGGTTACAAGGCAAGTCCGTTGACTACCAACAGGTCATTGGATTTTAACGCATTGGCTGCATGTTTTTCAACGGGATCGTCTCATAGTCTGAAGATCCTAAGTTAGTTCTTTATTGAAGTCCTATCTACCTAATTCTGAAGTTAACCAAAATGAGAATAAAATGCAGTCACCCACCGGTATTTATCGATCCTTGTATTGTTATCTTCCGGAGGATTCGACATGCTTGAATGTTCATCAGTATTCGTTGATTCAGTATTGCTTAGTTTTTCCAGTTGGTCATCCAATAAGCTTTTCTCACTATCCTGTTCACCAGTGTGACAACGATAACTCTTAATATCTGATGCTTGTAATAATAATTCATTTGATGTCCATCTTATTAATATGTCATTTGACGAGTTAATCAACTCTAAATAACCAGGAGCTCTTTGTTCATCACCTAACTAAAGAAATTAAAAACAAAACCCTAATAAGAGAATATAATCAAATAAAGTATTAACTAATATATGTGTAAAACTTGGGCACTGTGTTAGTAATTCCATATGAGTTTGTTTATTAGATGTATCACACAGACTGTGAAACAATATTATTTACTGGATGACTACGCCTTTCGAACACAATTTATTGCTGTTCATAACCATATCAATTATAATCACACGACTTTGAAACTTGAGTTTTATAGTTTTCTTTGCTTTTTTCCTATTTGTCGTTGTAGGGGTAGTAGCGATAGTGATAATAACAATAATAATGATCATAATAATAATAATAGTGATAATGATAATAATATTAATGACGACATCAGCAATAAGGAATCTAAATCATCAGTAGTAATTCCACACAAGGAAAGAACTTCGGAAGCCTTACGCAGAATTCTTAACAAGGCAGGAATAAAAACGGCATTCAAACCCACAAACTCAATTAGAAACAAGCTTTTTCGGTTAAAGGATCAATCCTGTAGAGCCTTTAAAACAAAACAGTTTAGTTTATCTAATACCCTGCTGGAATGATTGTCAGGTCAAATACATAGGTCAAACTAGTAGAACAGGGGCAGTCCGACTAGCTGTACATAAACACTTAGCAAAATCTAGATCGGTTGACCCGAATAAGATAAGAAATCTAGAGAATAGTTCAACTATAGCACTCACTACATGCAATTACACACAAGCCATACAATAGGATGGATGGGATATGATGACAGTTTTAAAATCTAATGTCACAGGGTGGAGGGAGAGATTGATAACAGAAGCTTTGTTTATCGAATCAACTGCAAATACGTGTAATAGGAATGATTCATCACCTGTCCCCAATATCTGGAAAATTCTACTATCCCTACAACGACAAAATAGGAAAAAACAAAAAAAACTATAAAACTCAAGTTTCACAGTCGTGTGATTATAATTGATATGGTTATGAACAGCAATAAATTGTGTTCGGGACGGTAGTCATCCAGTAAATAATACTGTTTCACTGTGTGATATACTTAATAAGCAAACTAATAATGGAAAGTATTAACTAAAATTAGTGCACAAGAAACCTTATTCATTTTATCAGTAGAAAGCAACTCCTACTCATTGAGTAGCTTATAATAGTAATGTTATAATAAAAGAAGCTTTATTCTGGATAGTGTTTAGATAATGTACATAATTTTACTGCAGAATTTATTGCTCAGTACTTTCGCTTCGTCTTAGATCTTCAAGGAAATTAGTAATTGACACAGTAGGTCACGTGATACAATGCTGCCTGAAGCACAAACCTTTTCCTTGTAATATTTCTTCTTTGTCACCTTCTAGAAATACAGGATGTTTCGTTGAAAGTCAATTTGAAAAAAGTGCAGGAGTACATTTTGAGACCCGATGGACATAAGTGAATGATTAAAAACTGCAGGTAGTTAGTTTTATTTCTCCGGTAGTGGCAGTTTGTACTCAGAATCTCAGGAACAGTCACCTCATGTATTGGGGTACGTTGCCATCCACGATTATGCATCCTCCAAAGTTTACTAGAAATCTGCGAATCAGCAGGTTGTAAATATTTTAAATATTCGCGAGGGTAAACAATACCAGGATCATATTTTAATAGATTTAAACAAAGTGTACGATTAAAAATTAAATGCTTTATAATGATGCAGGTTTTTGGTGGAGCAGGTTATAAGCAGGCCACCGTAACGGTTCGAAACACTTATGGAGTCCACTAAAGGGGAACTAATCATGTTGATGACAACTTTCCAATCCATCAACTACGCAAAAAAAAGACATTTTGCACTATACACTGATAAAGCAAAGTATTTAACTAAGATTGGGGTGAGAGCTGTCTGCTAGGCGAAATTAGTAGACAGTAATTTACGTCAATGTTTACGTCCCCAATATTGGTCGTGAGAAAAATAAAACCAAAGACTGATTCAACAACCAATCACAGTAGACTTTTCGTAGGCGGATACAATTGGCAGAGAGATGATCTGACCTTCAAGAAACAACCACAAAGAGATGAAAGATTAACTTTCAGCGAGAAGCAACCAATCAGAAGACTGTGTTTGTCTACTGACAATAATCTATAATAATGTACATGAAAATCTATAAATACGTGTTGATTTCCTAAATAAACAATCTGTTGCCTGGACTTTGTCTTCTCTTGTTACAAGATGACATGAAGTCTGTTGTCAACAGTTTTAGTAGCACACCTGTGAACTAAACGTGACAAAGATTTATTAGGGATATTCAGTAGTATATATATTCAAAATTCCTGCGTTTGATGTTATCTTTTGTCACATTATTATCTGTTTTTGGAAAAACCATGTATTTAAACAAAAACGAATAAAAATTTAACATTGAACATCAATAGAGTGAACAAAATAATTCAAACGAAATCTGCATTCATCGGGTTAGGGTAAAGTATAGCGATCCAAGCGAACGACCATCAAAATGCTCATGAACAACCAATCAGATGAGACCATGGTAAAACGCATAATTTGGAAAAATATTGTTATACAAATCAAAGTAATTAGTAAGGAATAATTACACAGGAGTAGCAATCTCTTCTGGGTTTTAAAGTGCGTCGGTGGCGTAGCGGTTAGGGTGCTCGCCGACATGGTCCGGGGTTCGATCCCCGGCCGACTCACTCCTTTACCTCGCCAAGCCAGAAATAAAGCTGGTAAAGGGGAAAGGTTGGGCATGAGGCTAGCAACCCCATGATGTAAAATAAACATTGCTACAGAAACTTCAAGCCGCTGGCTTGAAGCCCTATGTTCCACGGGGGAATGTGAAGGAAAAAAAATGTGTTTTAAGAATGTATCCTATTTCCTCATAGAAGTCCTGGATATATTAGTCCAAACAAATTTTGGTGCATGAATCCATCGGGATGACTGTATTGTGAATGTAGCCAAGTGATGACAACTGCCTGTAACCATTTCTTATTCATCAACGACAGCCACATACCTCTGTAAAGTCATTATCCACTCCATTTCTACATGTTTTATTTCGTTCTCTAGGCCTATCACCCAGAAACTATTAAAATACTTGACCTAGATGATATTTACTGCGTAATTCGTTAACATATTCAATGTTTGCAATTGTTAATAACGGTTTCATTTATTTGATCATTTTGGTAACCGTTCGCTTCGGTCCTATACTTCACTCTAACCATTCATCAGTCTCAAGAATGTAATCAATATAATATGAATAATTTTCAAGTATTCGTTTTGTAGGGATTTTGTTTTTGATTGGTTGGAGGATTTCATCATGACCTGAAATCAGGTAGAGAACCATTAGGAGACTTGCAGGGAGTACTGAACAGCTGTTTCGTCAGCCTAGTTTGGGACTCTTTAGCGGTACGCACTCACCGAGGTTCAAACCTAACCCGACTGGCTTATGATGAAGTCCGCCAACCAATCATATGAATCATCTTGTGTTAACATAGACTGCATTCCCTTAGTCAAGCACGCTGTGTAGTCATTATACTGTGCAGCTAACCTTTGCAATGCACTTTGAACTGATATTGGACGATTAGAAGTAATTGGTAGGTGGCGCTGGACTTAGACTTCGTGCTTATTAGCAGTTGTCAATAAGTTGTGTCTACACCTATTGAAAGCGCTGGTATTTCCACTTGAATTTGAAACTCCATATCACTCAGTGATAAAGTCACAGAGGTTCCCAATGAACTACTGGGGCTCACAGTACATCTTGTCGGCGATTGCTAACAAGTATAAAACATTGTTCTAGGACTTCCTTCCTATTTCCTCCAACCATCGGACATGAAAAACATGACTAAGTTAAACTTTAAACATCAGGAGCAACCAACGGAGTGCGACCGCACCAACGACCTTCAGCGGACAGATGAGTTTATTCCCATTAGTTCAAGCTTTTATTCCAGTGAAGTGCCTGTTCTAACGGAGTTATGCCTTAAATTTGGTGTGGACCAAGTTTTCCAGTACTGCTCAGATGCGGGATTGATTGGACAGGAAATGTTCCTCTGGAAGTATCATGAGTATGAAATGCTTCAGCAGATCGGTTGGCGGACGTGTTCACCGTTGTAAAATTCGTTTGAAAGCAGTTAGTGTGAGGGAAGGTAAACTGGTGATTATACTATTTCATCAGAACACTTTTTTGTCAGATCCCAGTTGTCGTTAGTTCAAATTCTCTGTGTTTGCGATTACTGGGTTTTAAAACATGTTGTAACAGCTGCGGCTACTGAAACGGAGAATAGAGGTACAAACACTGTTAATATATCGCACCTTGGAAGATGGAGAGGTGCGTTGGTGGCATAGCGGTCAAGATGCTCGCGACCATGCACATGGTCCGCGGTTCGATCCCCGACCGACGCACTCCTTTAGCTCGCTAAGCCAGAAATAAAGCTGGTAAAGAGGAAAGGTTGAGGATGAGGCTAGCAACCCCATCCTGTAAGATAAACACTACTTTAGAAACTTCAAGCCACTAGCTTGAAGCCCTATGTTCCAGTGAGGAACGTGAAGGAAAAAAAAGATGGTGAGAGTCACTTCCTTTTCGGAAGGAGAAGGTGTTATTATACATACAGATGAAACATTACTAATAAAGAGGAAATACAACTGTGGTGGTGAAAAAGCAAATAACGTTTGGGTGATTGGGTTGTATGATACCACTCTACGGAAAGGATTCACCGAAAGAATATCAGACAAAATGTTAGATATTTTAACACCCATTATCTCTAGATTGCTGAAAAGAGGATCTGCTGAACAGTCCCAAGCTAGGACGAAACAGCTGTCCAGTACTCCCAGGTCTTCCAGTGGTTCTCTAACCAATGTCAGCTAATGATAAAAATCCTGTAAAAAGTTAAATATTTTAATACCCATTATCTCTAGATTGGTGAAAAGAGGATCTATAATACACACAGGTGAATCGGAAGGATATAACTCATTGTTATACCTGGGATATGTTCTCCATAAAGTAAACCATACCAATTCTATTGAGAGACTTTT